AAAAACATTATATATGTTGAAAAACAAGCACCTGTGCCCTCTAGCCCGGACTATTTCCAGTTTTGCCAAACAGTGGACGTGGCTCGAAAGTAGGTCGACTGGCGTGCTCCAAAATAGGACGTTCAAACCTCTACATAGGAGTAACAACTATATGCAATTTGAAACATGTGGGTCACTGTTCTCGAGTTATCGTTGACTGTAGCCAAATGTTGACGGGCGGACGGACAGACGACGGACGACACCCCATGGCAATAGCTCATCTTGACGATGTCAAGGCAAGCTAAAAAGCAGTAACCATGCACTTAAATACACTTTTACCTATAATCATAGAAATATATTCATTTTATTTACTATCACAAGTGAATAAACAGGTAACTACTTGGCACACACGTGCTTCACTATGATGAAACATTGAATTTGCGCTCAATTCATTGGAATGGACGTTGGCAATGACAAAATTTATATATCAACCTCTCTCAAGAGCACAGTGCAGGATCCAACAACGTTCGTCCGGTTCACATATATGCCGAGTTAAAACCTCCGAAGCCGTACAGGCAGACAGGTAGGTGTCATTTGCTATACAATGGTGACCGCTTCTTGGCTCAGGAATGTCTTGCCTAGATGGACAGACAATGGTTTCAGTGATGTAGCAAATCGCATAATTGTGCGCTAATTTATCTATAATATTTATATAATTAGAATTATACTTGTACATTACGTAATTACTGTTAATATATTGTCTCGACGGCTGTCACTCGTCATCCAAATTCTATTCGTCCATATTTGTAAGACGTAATGGTAAAGCAAGGAGTGTTCTGCTTGGTGGTAACGTATGCATCACTGCTAACTTATGATCAACTGATAGTATCTTTAAATGTTGCGAGGTTGATTTCTTGACATGTGATGGTGTACAATTTAGTTTGCGCTGGTTTAAATTTATCTCGTACTTAAGACAGTCGCGTGATTGAGCGTATTTATTTTGGAATACATCTGTACATGGGATCAATTTCGTGGAGGAAGGAATTCAAGTTAGTACTACACCACCAAAGAACGGCATACCATAATAACTATGATTATGAACATTTTCATTGCACAGTACAGTAGGCCTATCAGGAGGACACAAATTTGTTATTATTTACTCCTGATAGTATATAGCACTGGTTAGATCGGAATTCTTGTTCCCGGTACAATTTTATTGGTGTACGACCTTTAAATTTAAGAAATTACCTTTGCCTTCGCAATCATTTCGAGAAACTTGAAAGAATTTCCCTAGTCCCTAGTGATAGTGCCCACTTTAACTTATCCACGGTTATCTTTGTGTTCACTCTAAACACTGACACACTACGCTAATATATGTACCAAAGTTGAACTATATATTATACTAGACCATGTGAGGCTATTTCCTTTGTAATCAGTCATATGCTCAGCGGTTATCGTTTTATTATGTTATCTATGTAGTATGTGCTTTATACCTTGCTTTATACTTAGCAGATACTTTTATAAGCGAATGGTGGCTTGTTGTCAATGCATGCGCCATCTAGCGGAAAAACAAAATTGACAATATGGAAGCCCCCATGAAAATATATATAGTACACAAATAGAAGAGGATGTAATTAGCCTGTTTGGCGATTATGGACGATGAAATACAGGCCATCCAGGCTATATTCTGTGGACCTGGAGAATTCACGGAAGTACAATGCAATGGTATCGTATAGGTTTTACTGTTACTGTTAGTGTTACTGTTACTGTTAGAAATAGAAGGCTAATCATAGACGTAATGACTGTCCTCCAACTATACTCTAGACTATAGTATACTACTACTACTACTACTAGTACCAGGAGTAAGATAATATAGGTATCCTATATTATCTTACTCCTGCTAGTACTGGTACTAGTACTAATAATACTAGGTAATAGTTGTCAAATAGGATTTGGCCGACAGTTATGGGTATAGCTCTAGTACTATAGCCCGCTTACATTAACTGCCGCTGGCTGCCCAGCGGCAACTGTACGCGGTCTATAGTACTACTACTAGAGCTAAGTTATGGGTAGTCACAAGTTCCCATCTCGCTTAACACTACGTGGCACGATGGCCGTGTAACAGTCGGAGAGCCTGGTCGGTTTAAGTTATGGGTAACTAGTACTAGTAGTAGTAGTAGATACCCCTTGCCATCTAATAGATGATTAATTATATCTACCCTAACACTAGTTTACCCACAAAACGTAGATTTAACCTCCACAGCCTATGCTAGTTCCACCCACAGGCACTTGGAGCATCTCAATCAATAAAAATAATGCTAAATAAACACGAAATGTATTTACTACCAAAGTAAAGTGCCGATAAAACATGCAGCGGCGTGCGTGTGGTGTACGTGTGTGTTGCAGAGGAGCATTTGAACAGAATTTACAGGAAATTATCGGCAATAATAGGCGAAAGAGCGTAGAGAAACATTAAGACTTTGGTAGTAAATACATTTCGTGTTTATTTAGCATTATTTTTCTTTATTGAGACACTCCAAGTGCCTGTGGTTCGACCCAAGCAGGGTGTGTCGATTTTTTTAAGGCAGTGGCTACGGGTACGGTAGCCGTATCTTAATGTCTCGAGGCTACGGGTACGGGAGTCCATTCGCTTTCATACTTAACGAGACAAAGATGGCGGCGGTGGCGCTAGATTTCGAAATAACGCCTTGGGAAATAAATTCACGATTTGAGAGTTTAGATGAGCTAGAACCCTAACCCTAACCCTAATCCTAACGCAAAAAAGGGGCTTGAACGACCGACGGCTACCGTACCTCCAGCCACTGCGATATATTTATGTGTCAGTGTGCGCGCAATGGCGGCGGCGTGTGTTTACAGTTGAAACGCTGCAAGTGCCTGTGTGGTTTTAATGTTTTGTTTAAGCAAAATCACTGCTCAACACGCAGACTGGAAAAATATAGCGAAATGTAGTCTTACCAGTAATAGGAGATATGTTACTAATCACACCAACTTGAAAAATACGAAGAACTTAGTTGTTATAATATAAATTGGAATTGAACACATCGCAACAACACCATCGCGCGTAACAAATGGCGATTTCAAAACAAGTGCACCCGATTCGAACAATAGGACATCTAATTTTGAGTAGTGAACGCGGTGCCGCAAGAAATAGTGGCGGAAATCACGTCAGAATGTCGAGTAACGCAGCTGTTTGTGAAAAAGATGATAAAGGCTTGAGGAGAAAGAGAGAGGACAAGATACACACACACACACACGCACACACACAGAGAGGGGTGGATTACTTTTTTTAGTGAGGGTGGGGGGAGAGAAGAGAGGGATTGGGAGAGAGCTATAGCAAACGATGTGCGCGCGTGCGTGCCTGCAAGCGTGCGCGTGCGTCCACATGGGTGTTTGTTGATTTGTCATGCAAGTGTTTGAAGAACCTTTCACGTGTGAAAGAAACCAACCAAGATCGCTTATTTTCCAATGAAAAAAAACTGTTAAACTGTGTAACTGTTTTAATCCCCACATGAACATGCTACAAATATTTCCAAGTTAAAGTTGCTATATACACACGCACCAGCACGCACATATGCACACACGCACATACACGCGTCACAATAAACTATATTTGCGTTAATTACCTTTACTGTACATAGACACTTTGTCATATAGAAACCATATAGAATTATTGACCTTGTTGACATAGCTAATGTCGTGTCATCTGTCGATCATACGATGTAGAAGCGGCATTTGAGCGCGCATGACGTTATCTTGCTATGCAAGTTGTTACAAGCCTCGCAGTTTTCACGTTTTTTCTTGCTACTTTTCTCAATGTTCCACGCGCCTTGCATTGACTAGTCCCAATGGCTGCGATATTCGTGTCGTACGTAATCTTTTAAACGACACCGTAGCCACCGTAACCTGCTATCACGTGACATGTTTTAGTTTTAAGGAATAACACGGAAGCAAAGTATATAATATAATAGAAAATAGGCTACGGGTAGACAAGCTCAGCGTGGACATACTGCTGATCCATAGTTCGACTACCTATAATATTATCAGGAGTAGATAATAGAAGATTATATCTTCTATTATCTACTCCTGATATTATGTATGTCGCTCCTGGTATTGTTGTTGATTGCTTAGCAGATAGCAGCTACTGGTTACACATGCGTACGCATATCTATTAGATATCATATAGCGTAGCCGTAAACTATGACAGCTTCATTTAAAGTAGGGTAATCCTGGCCCTTCGCCATAGAGATAACAGAGTAAGTGACTTCGCATTGTAATGATGACATTGCATGTTATATGCCTTGCAAGAATTGCTACAATGATATAACGGTATATATGTACCGCGTGTCGCACTCTTGTCACGTGAACAAGAGCGCATGTAAACTATTAAACTAGCTCAATAACGAAGTTGCGCGGTACAATGTTACGTTACACTAGTTATACTATCAATCGGATCATAGATGAAGAACATGGGATGCCACGTTTCAGATCCCTGATCACACACACGACGTTACCGTCAAGATTAATAACAAACATGCGCTAAATCTATTTCATCAAAGGTCGTTCGTAATACAATTATTTAGTAAATCCAAAGGTTATTTAACCTAATCAATTCGATCCATTCATTAGAATCATCACGTCGTCTGACGTTTTCAATACACGCAAGATAAAGTACTTCAACGTTTTTACTGGTATTTAGTAATACATTCAAATTAAACCACTCTGACAGGCGCTGGCAACGATATTGCAAGAACCCATATACATAATCATTGATTGATGTCACAACAGTATTATAATAACGTAATGTAAATAATAAAATCCAAAAGGGCAATAAAATTGAATGCCAATATGAACGTTCTACTAACCTTTTCACCAACGCACCTCCAACAAAATACACGTGTTGAATAATCAAATGAAAGAAATAACGTTAGCGTTGAAATATCAGCGTGACAATATTAGAAATAGGCTAGCTTCCTTACACTTCTGTAAGGCTTTACACTTTGATATTATTTGTTATCAATTAAGGTTTGTTGCAAACCGTTAGTCTTAGCACTTGCGGGAGTGACGAGTCTCGTAGCAAAAGCTGCAACAACACTGTATACATCGTTCATGCGAACTTGCGAGCTTGTGGGGGAATCTTAATTCCCACTACCATCTTCCACACGTGATTGCATTCGTCCCCAATTACCGCGCATGCGCGTGTGCCATGACATCAGAGCACACGCACTAACAAACAATGATGCTCAATTGTATAGCAGATACGTCTTTTCCTGAGTCATCATGATAGAACCGATTACACGCACCATCGTACAAGAGCGCAGTTGCACGTCACCAGTAACATTAACTTACGGTTAGAGTAAACTGGCGAGGGCTACCAACGCCCGCTATATACACACGCACAACGCTTTAGGTAGCGCGCACCTAGTACCGGGCGTGATTCCGTACAGCGAGCTACCTCGGTAGGAGCGACAGCCGCCGTGGCTTTCCCACAGCGCAGAATCCGATCGGAAGAAAACTCGACAAAACGAGTAGCGAGACTGGGTGACCACGTCTCTTCGCCCGCGCGCGTGCGGCGCATTCCAGAAACCTAGCCGGCGAAGGCAATCAAACGACCGGACACGGCTCCACCGATTCCTTCTCCGAGTCGACGTCCATCACATCGCTCGCAGCGTCCTCTTTCGGCTCCATCGATGCCTTGCTGTGTACTGTGTATGGATGCGGCGCTCTCGCATCCCTCCGCATCTGCCTCTTTACGCGGCGTTCTTCCATCATCAGCTGCAGTTGCTCCATTTTCCCTTTCAAGTGCATATTTTCCTGACGAAGCTTTGCTCTGTCGTCTGCTGAAAAATCGGTGCGTAGGGGAAAAAAATCATTAAGTGGCAAATGCTTTGAGAGTCGAGAGAAAATAGTTTGAAAGGTCCGACTTCCGCGATGTGTCACGCGATTCTTGGTGGCATGCGGCTGTTGTCCTAACAATTTCAGATCGTTTGCCGTGACTCGCGATAATCCAATATAGCACTAGAACACTCTCCCCGACACCATAGTCGTTACGCTCTTTTCACGGCTTCCTTTATCGAACAATCGTTATTTTTCTCGAATGGCCACGCACTCCGCGCAACGTCGGCTACAAAGACTTAATTTCCCCTCGGAGTCAGGTCTTTTTCCCCTCCCAATGTAAATACAGTAAATGGCCGGCTGCCAATGCATTTTTAAAGGTCAGGTGACTCAGGTGCTTGAAATTCTGAGCCTCTACCGTGATCCGCGTATCGATCTGAGGTGAGGCAACTGGCAAGGGATGAAGACATGGCCTTATGTCGCGGGGCGGGCGGTTAGCATTTAAGCTGCAATGTCACGCGAACCCGACTAACGTTATTTTATGCAGTTCTGCGCCACAAATCCCCTCTCGGGAAAATGTTCGAGGTCCCTGATACGCGCGACATTTTTCAAAGCTGTCCCCCCCCCACCCCGTCAACTCACTCGCAGCGTTTCTGGAGATGCAGCGCTCGGCGAATCTGCCAGCCGCCGCTGCCGGCTTGCCGTGCAGCCCCGAGGGACTCATTCTTTGCCTATTCAATTCCTGCGTGAAACCGTGCAGTCGCTGAGGCTGGACCTTCGCCGTCGGATGCGCTCCCAGCAGGTCGTTGAGAATGTGTATAACGGTGGCGATGCTACGTTTCGGTCTGCCCTTCTTGTCGGTGAGGCTCGGGTTTAGCGTACCTGTGCACATGCAAAAACACGAACCCCTTCAGCAGATGGCACACGCGACTGACCTACAATAACCGCGTGCCGAACGCGAACGGGATAATAAACACACACACACACACACACACACACACACACACACTATTGCGACAAAGATATGTGCCTGCGCTGTGTACGCATGCAACTGCCGCTCTACTTTGGAAAGGTCAATCAGGAATATGTAATTATCCTATTATGAGCATCGCTCGTGTCCTCCGCGCGCCGCGCGTGACACGGTGACATTTAGCTAAAATCAACAGCTAGTTAAGATTCACCGAGCGCGATCACTGACGATGACTTGGGACAACCGTCTCTAGCGCAACCTGCGTAAATAATTAACGACGGCGGAAAATTCGTTTCGACTATCGAGTGACGGGATAAAAAGTACATTAACAACGTTTTTTTGCCGTTCAACTTGGGATAGCGTTTGTACAACTCGCAGATCCGCCCGCCTACTCCTCATGTGTATACAAAATGCACTATATCTTGACTATATCAGGAGTGTATCAATAGTGATACACTCATTGATCAGGAGTGTATTGATACACTCCTGACTATATGTATGTGTTGCCAGCGTGCATTCGTGCGTGCGTGCGTGCGTGCGTTCGAGCGCGCGCTTAAATTTGTTACGAGAGGATTTCGCGAAGAGTATATATTTGCGAAACCCGGATCACGTGCTCGCATCGTGAAAAAATAAGCCCGTGCTATTTACGGCGACCTATAGCCAATCCAATAACATTCCTGTCTCCGCGTCGATGTTTACTTCTACGACAGGTTCGACTCCTCTTTCCGCTAGTGCTGACGAAACACCCCATCGGGAACGGCCGCTTCAGCGAAGCAATTATAACGCGCTGCCGCACAGCGCACGCGCGCTCGCGCCTCAGCCGGTGGCAGCAGTTCGTAAACTAATCTCTACGTTAATGTCACGCGCTCTTTCGCAACGATACGATCTCTCAGCAGAGTCTAACGGAGCGATAAACTCGCAGGGGCTTCGGATAAAAGACGGAGCGTAATACATAGGAAAGCGGAAGACGGCCAGGCTGCCGTCGGAAGCATATCACGAGTTCATTCAACCTTGTTGATGATTAAATAAACAACGCGATGAAACAACAGCGGTCGGCGGACCGCGCATGCGCAGTGCGGGCATCTCCAGCTTCAGCTATACATATGCATATCTGAGGACAGCGGATACGATCCGGAATTAATTACATCCATCTATTATTTAATATTGTGAAGGACGGGGTAACGTGCACATACGTCACGACTCAATTAAGACTGATGAACAAGGCGATGTGCAGGGTTGATGCAGCCTCGGCGTGCTGTGTTTATGGCGCTCTGCCGTGGTATATAATATTTAACCAGCCAGAGCAATGAACCGAACCGTAATGTCAATCTTGTGAGTGCAATATATATATGTATAGCTATAATAAGCTCTAAATGTTCTCGGTTGAAGGCAGCTTCGGTAATTTCTAAATGTCACCACAGAAATAATAGGACTTATTGCTCATGGGACTTTCTCGCATATAGGGGGCGATTGGTGCCTGCCTTGTACAAGCGTGTACGTGAAGCGTGTGCTCAAGTCTACAAGGTAGACAGCTATCTTTGTATGTATGTCTGTGTGTCCGTCCTTCGGTCCGTCTGCTCTCTCTCTCTCTCTCTCTCTCTCTTTCTCTTTCTCTTTCTCTTTCTCTTTCTCTTTCTCTCTCTCTCTTTCTCTCTTTCTCTTTCTCTT